TAGCGCCTTGTCAATTCGGCTGCTCAGACTTGCTGCGGCCTCCGTGTTCGCGCCCAGCGACGTGCGGGCGCTCCGGCCCGCGCCCTCCGCACCCCGCGCCTCTCCACAGTCTCCCGTGCGCCCCTAGCAGCGCCAGCTCGATGCCCGCCGGCCGCCCAAGCCCGGGCGCCCAGTCCGCGCGGCGGCCGCCGCCGCTGCCCCTGCTACTGCTTTGCGTCCTCGGGGCGTCGCGAGCCGGATCGGGAGCCCGTGAGTACCCTGCGTCCTGCTCCTCATCCCGCCGCGGCCCAGGACAGGCGCCCGGGGATAGCCGAGGGGGGGAGGGGGCGCGGGCGCCACCTGGACGGCCGGGGAACAAAGGAAGGCGCCCCCGGCGCGGCCCTCGGGGCGCCCTTACCTGTGGGGCGCACGGGGCTGGGTCCCCTGGCCCAAGAGCCCTACTTCCGCGCCAAGGCCTTCTCACCTGGGCCACCCGAGCCGGGGCACTCAGCCAGGCCCCCGAGGGTGGAGGCAGCGGCCCGGGCCCTCTGCACGCATTGGGGCGCCGCGGGTGCACTGTGCTGCGGCGACCACTGGGCACCGCTTCCAGGCGGGCGGGGGCGCACGCAGTGGAGCGCTGGGTGCGGGCGGGGAGCGGCCCCCCGGCGAGGGATGAGCCCTGAGGGGAGGGAGGGCGGGCGGGGGCCCGCTCTGGCCGCCTGGCGCGCAGCCCAGGGTCCCCGGGGACGCGCCTCTCCGCGGGCCGGCGCCGCAGCCCTCCCTCCGCGGGACCAGGCGCACGGGGATCCGCGAAATCCCCGTCACCGGCGGCACTCAGAGCCGTCTTAATCCATCCTGCGCGGGTTGCGAGCCTTCTGCGAGAAAAGGCTTTGTGAGCGAGTGGGTGAGAGCCGGAGCCCAAGCACGGGCACTGCGGGCCCAGGCTTTAGGGGAGGCCCCCTGGGAACCCGTAGGCCCAGGGCCCCTCCCTGTGGGGCGCTCCTGGCCTCAGGCATTCGGCCCCCCACTCAACGCACACCCCTGCCAGGATACGGTCTCCACATCCAGACCCACTTTGGGACACACCCGGAGACACACACAGACTCACACTGGCTTGTGTCCCGTCACCCTCGCCCTCAGACACTCACACACTGCGTCCCAGATGCACGTTCGCACACCACCGCGGCGCGCGCACATTCCATCCCGACGCACACACATTCTGGTCCTCTCATTCCCCGTGGAGCCAGCAGAAGGGCATGCACGCGGGCACGAGGGGGTAGGGGACGTTCTCAGTGAGCTTGTGTCCCCATCCAGGCAGGACACCTCCGGGTGTCATTCTGGAAAGGGCAGGGCCAGGGCACCCCTGGGCCACAAGCTTGCCTAAGGTGCCTGCACAGGTGAGAGACTACCTAGAGCCTTCTGGGGTCCCTGATAGCTCTGCCAGACTGTGGGTGGCGTGGAGCTTTGTTCCCAACCATAGAGCAACAGGCGAAAGTGGGGGGTGGGGTGGGTGTTGTGCATGTGTTTTCTCCTTTAAGGGAGAAGAAATTAAATAAAAGATTCTCACACCTCGGCAATATGTTTCTACTTACCGTGTGTCTTAGCACCTGACTGCCAGGCTGGTGGGTCGTAAAGTGTCTGCAGGTACCTGTGGGATGAGAGGTGGGATCCCCCCGCAGGGACCCTGGGATTGAGGCCACCCTCCTGCTCGGCTTTCAGAGAATCTCACACTTTTCCCTTTTAAAACACATGGTGTTCCTTTTTAATAACAGCAGTGGCTCCAGATTGGGAAAGGGAAAAGAAAATCTTGTAAAGGCCCCAGCTCCTCAGGAAAGGAGGGGCAGCAGGCGCAGAGGGGGCAGACCCCAGCCTAGGGATTTGCTTAGGGGCGTCTTCTAGGAGCCCCTCCAAGCCAGGCCAAGCTCCCTTCAGGCTCAGCAGCTTGTTCCCAGTTGCTGCTTCCCCAGCGCCTGTCTCATTGTTCGCCAGAACCTAGAGACAGGGAAGGCACCGGGACCTGGAGCTGGGCAGGATAGTGAGCCCCGTGGTCCTCAGGTGCTGTAGAGTGGGGGTCTCTGCATGGTGTGTTCATCCTGCCCACCCTGTAGCACTGAGCAACCCTCTAGCAGGTAGTGCAGTCCTTCTCCCATTGTGGGGATGAGGAACCCAGGGCCCAGACAGCAGAGCCAGGTGCTCCACCGAAGTTTGTGCCTTTGTCTCCAGGAGAAAAAGTGTCCCTCTGACCTTTCCTACTAGGCAGAGAGCTTGTCCTGTCCAAGCCCACTCAGCCTTGTCCCCTCCAGCCAGCACCCTGTCCCCATCCCAGCCCTAGGCCGGCAGCTGCAGCTGCTGGCAGACTGGCCAGCCAGGCCTGGTGGGTGTGGCAGGGGGGCATTGCCCCCCAGCCAAGACCCCCCAAAGAGCCCCTTTGGGCCACATCCGGCTGGGGTGGGGGCAGGAGCGGTGTGACCCACCCTGGGAGGGCTGAGACCGGGCCTGGGGTCGACTAGCTGTCTGTGCCTCCCATCCTGCTGGGGGGGCCCAGGCAGGAAGCGGTGGGTGGGCCATGGCAGAGGCGCTGGCACGCCCGAGTTCATGCCAGAGGAATTCCGAATTAGCGGGCGGCTGGCTGCCTGAGACCTCCGGGGCGGCCCCCTGGCCCCACGCCCCCTGCCAGGGCGCCCCCGCCAGGGCGCCCCCGCCTCCTCTGCTGGCCTGCGCTAGTGCTCCTTCACACGGACAGACACGGAGACTTCCAGTGAGCCCTGGGCCAAGCCCCAAATGCAACTGTGATCCCAGCCACACTTGAGCCAAGTTTGCCCCAGAAAATCGTTAGGGTTGGCCCAGGACTGAGCCCTTCCTATCATGGCCTTCTGCAGAATGTGGGACGGTGCAGGGTGACTGCTGGCATTTAAGGGGCACTGAGGGGGTAGGATATGTGGATCCCCATGGCTGCCCTTGAGCCCCCTGAACCCCTTCTCAGCTGCCTGGGGAATTCTTTTTAAGTGCATATGTAACCAGGACCTTCCCTGCTCAGAACTCTGAACTTTTGGTCCTCCCTGCAGGTTGGGGGTCCCTTCTGACCCAGACCTTTCCTAGTACCTGTCCTACCAGAACAGCTGGCCCCTAGATACTTCTTAGCTACATCCCTTACTTCTGTCTCAGCTCAGATGTCACCTCCCAGCCTAGGTGAGCTGCCTCCCTTTGGCCTCTGCTTCATTTGGTTCCTTTGGTCTGCGAACCTCTGAATCTGAATGGGTGAAGGGCACAGCGCCCTCCCAAGGGAACGGAGAAGGAAATCACCAAGTCAGGCTTCCTCAGCAAGCTGGGGCATTCAACTCTGGGCCAGCCTAACCTAACTGTGGCATGGGGTGGCCTCTGACAGTATACCCTAAATGACCCCTGTGGCCGATACCAGAATTCTCACTCCCCAGATAGAGAAAGACTCAGGCCAGAGTGCACCCCTCCCCCGCAGGCCTCAATTTCTTCAGGGTGAAATGGACCTATCTTTGGTCCTGGTCTCCCTGATAGGTAGCAGGAGAGGAGGGCTGGCTGGGCATTCCTGGGACTTCTGTGCCAGCACCCAGCTCACTCAAATTGATTTGGGAAGTCTCAATAACTGCCACAGTGGCCCCAGTGAAGGACACAGAGCACAGAGAGTCCTTTTTTTTTTTTTTTTTTTTTTTGAGGCAAGGTCCTGCTGTGTAGTTCAGGCAGACCTCTAACTCCCCTCGGGGAGTTTGCCTGGCTCCCCCAGCTGGCCTCGACTTGCCACAGTCCTCCTGCCTTGGCCTCCTGAGTGCTGACCTTACAGGCATGTGCCCCACAGGAGAGCCCCTTCTTTCTAGGTTAAGGGAATGCAGGAGGGCATTAAGTCCTTTTGGATGGGAGTGGGAGCACCCACAGCTGTCACAGCCACATCAGGGTTTCTGTAGTTGAGAACCTGGGTGGGGATACTTGGATTTTCAGAGGTTCAGCTTTTTTTCACAGGATGGGCAAGACTTGGTGAGGAATGGTAGGCAGCCTTACCCTGTCCATATTCAGGACAAAAGAGGTCCACTCCCTGTTCAGCCAGGCCAGTGCTTCTCCCCCAGAAGCGCCCAGGGCCCAAGGCTTGGAGTAGCTAGCAAAGGAAGAACCACAGTTCTGTCTCCAGTGGCTCAAAACAGCTGACCCGAGGAAGTCCTGGCATGGTGGGCCTTGGATGGCTCCCTCAGGTGTAACACAGCCTGTCTTCTTTGGCCCTAGACACGGCTGTGATCACACCCCAGGACCCCACACTCCTCATCGGTTCTTCCCTGCAAGCCACATGCTCAGTGCATGGGGACCCGCCTGGGGCCACCGCCGAGGGACTCTACTGGACCCTCAACGGGCGCCGCTTGCCTGCGGAGCTCTCACGGATGTTGAATGCCTCCACACTGGCCCTGGTCCTGGCCAACCTCAACGGGTCCAGGCAGCAGTCCGGGGACAATCTCGTGTGCCATGCCCGCGACGGCAGCATCCTGGCCGGCTCCTGCCTCTATGTGGGCTGTAAGTGGCCCCAGGATGCCTGGATGCTGACATGATATGGGGAGCTGCCGCCACCTGGGGCTGCATTGAGTGTGGGGAGAGCCTGACCAACATCATAAGGGTAGTCCACAGGCTGGGGTGTGGCCCAGTGGGGGACCACACTCAGTGTGGGCCCTCACACAACATGCCAGTATCCTAATGCATCTTCAGGAATAGGGCTGAAAGTGTCCTATTCACCCTCCTCCATCCACTTTCCCTTAGTGCCCCCCGAGAAGCCCTTTAACATCAGCTGCTGGTCCAAGAACATGAAGGACCTCACGTGCCGCTGGACACCGGGGGCCCATGGCGAGACCTTCCTGCACACCAACTACTCCCTCAAGTACAAGCTGAGGTTGGTGCCAGCCCTTCTGCCCCTTGGCACCCCATGCCAGCCTCCTCAGACCCCCCTCCCCTGCATGCACAGGTGGTACGGGCAGGACAACACATGTGAGGAGCACCACGCTGTGGGGCCACACTCCTGCCACATCCCCAAGGACCTGGCTCTTTTCACGCCCTATGAGATCTGGGTGGAGGCCACCAACCGCCTGGGCTCAGCCCGATCCGATGTGCTCACACTGGACATCCTGGATGTGGGTGAGTCAGGCCTGCTGTGCCCCCTACATCTGCCCCGCTTGGGCTCCAACTCCTGCTCTGGCCCTGCTGGGGGGAACAGCTGGGCACCCACTCCCCAGTTCCAAACCCCAAAACAGCCAGGATAGCCCCACTTTCCAGAGAACACCTGGCCCAGTGCCTCCCCTGCTGCAGCCAGGTGTGCAGGAGGGGGCCCCTGGGAGCAGGAGGGGCTCCCAGGTCGGGAGGCGCCCCAGGAAGCCCAGGCCCAGAGCTGAGAGGTGAGGGCGGGAGGCAGGAAGTGGATGATCCGAGCACAGAATTGGGCCTAATCTAATTAGGGTGTTTCTCAGCCCCAAGTAGGCCTATGCCTTAACCCTTTCAGCCCCGCTGCAAGGCCTGTGGGGAGAGGCTAGCTGTCCTGTGGCCCGTGGGAGGATCCTTTCTTGTCACACCCTGAGGCTGCAGTGTGAAAGTTGTGAGCCTCTGTTGAATCCCAGGAAGAAGCGGGGTGCTGCAGCCTTGAAGGAAGCCCTTGCAGGCTAGACAGGTGCCGCCCCAGTCCTGGCTTGCTGCAGCCCCCCGGAGTGAGGATTATGTTTCTCCCATCACAGATAATCCAAGTGATAACAGCTGATGTTAACTGAGTGCCACTCCAGGCCTGGCAGAGAGCTCAGGAGGAAGGGAAACAGAGGCAGGGCCACCTCAGCCCCTGCCCTGCGCCCTGCCGCTGGGGGTCTGAGCCTAGACCAAGCCTGTCATCTCTCTCAAGAAAAAGGGTTGCAGCCGGCATGGCGGTGCATTCCTGTAATCCTAGCACCCGGGAGGCTGGGGCAGGAGGATCATTGGAAGTTCTAGTCGAGGCTGGGCTACAAACTGAGCTCAAGGCCATCCTGAACTGCATAGGGAGACCCTGCCTTTTAAAAGAAAGGGGGTGGGGGTGGGGAGATGGCTCAGTAACATAAGCACTTGCCTGGCAAGCACAGGGGCCTGAGTTCAATCCCCAGTACCTAAAAACAAAAACAACAAAAAAACCCCCAAAACATTCGTTATGGGGCTGGTGAGATGGCTCAGTGGTCTAAAGCACCTACTTAGAACAAGCTTAGCAAAACACAGGGATCGTGGTTCAATCCCCCAGCACACATGCCAGCCAGCCCCGCCCCCTGGTGGGCTAAGCTGGCCACACACACACATAAATAAATAAATAAATAAATAAATAAATAAAGGGGGGGCCTCAGGTTACCAGGTCCTGCTTTGCCTCACAGTGACCACGGACCCTCCACCAGATGTCCATGTGAGCCGTGTGGGGGGCCTGGAGGATCAGCTGAGCGTGCGCTGGGTGTCGCCACCGGCTCTCAAGGATTTCCTCTTCCAAGCCAAGTACCAGATCCGCTACCGCGTGGAGGACAGCGTGGACTGGAAGGTGCTCACCCAGCCCTTCCAGCCTTGCTCTCCATCTGCTTCCACCCTTGCACCTGGCCCCGCCCTCCACCTGCTTCCACCCCTCCACCTGGCCACGCCCTCCATCTGGCCCCACCTCCATTGTCCAGGTGGTGGATGACGTCAGCAACCAGACCTCGTGCCGCCTGGCTGGCTTGAAGCCGGGCACTGTCTACTTCGTACAAGTGCGCTGCAACCCCTTTGGCATCTACGGTTCCAAGAAAGCTGGGATCTGGAGTGAGTGGAGCCATCCTACAGCCGCGTCCACCCCCCGAAGTGGTGAGCATTCCAACAGGGCTAGGGTGGGGAGCTCCACACCTGGCTCCAACCAGCCTCAGTGTCCCTTCTTGTTGGTTTCTGTTGTTGGGTTCTTTGTTTGTTTTTTGCTATCAGGGAATCAGACTCAGGACCTAGCGCTAGTCAGGCAGGCATTTATGCCACTGAGCCACTTCCCTGGCCCCAATATCCCTCCTTGTTTCTCCAAGAGAACAGAGGTCTCAGATCAGTGACCTCCAGGGCCAAGTGTGATCTAGGGTTGATTTGGACTGTCTTTTGGGGAGGCCAAAAATTTAACCTACTTGCGGAGATTCAAAAACAAAGTGCCTGGCATGGTGGCACATGCCTATCATCCCAGCACTCTGGAGGCTGAGGCAGGAGGATTGCTGAGAGTTCAAGGCCCGCTTGAGTTCTATAGTGAGTTCAAGGTCAGCCTGAATTATGCAGCAAGACCTTGTTTCAAAAACGGTATATTTATATACAAATATCCTAGATTTTTTTTGAAAAATAAGTGTTGTAGAAATGGGACAGAACAGCCCACGTTGCTGTATGGCCCCACAGTGGCGGCCGTCCCCCTAGGGACCCTTCCTGACCATCTGTCTCACTGCCACCAGGGCCATTATCCCCTCTACCCACCCTCAGCCCCAGAGACCAAGTGAGTTTGAGACCCTTGCCTATGAAATTGTTGGACTTTGCTTGGCGCCCCCTTCTGACCAGGTGGGAGATGGGAGGGATTAGGGGCCTGGGTCTGACTTCCGTTGTTCTCTGGGGTCTCTCGCAACCCTTAGATTCTCTGTGCTCTTCCTTTTGAAATGGGATGAAATCCACTACGTAGAACTTGTAGCCTCAGTTTCCCCATCTGGAAAGGTGATGACAGACACATCTGGCTAGGACTTTTGTGAGGCTGCGGGCTCTGGAAGCTCTGGAAGCTCCCAACCCCCCCTCAGGACTTGGCCTCAGAGGAGGCTCCCCTGTCCCCGGGTGATGACCCTGAGGCCCTCGGAGGTTACGCTTGGACTTGGGTTCAGTTCAGTGACAGTGCAGCCCCACCCTTGTGGGAAGATGGGGAAACTGAGGCCCAAGAGAGTCCCAGAGTCCGGAAGGGGCAGAAGCAGGCTCCAGCCAGCTCCCCAGCCCCCATTGGGGCCCCCGCAGGTTCTGGGGTGGGCGGGAGCGAGCGGCGGGAGGGGCCTGAGCCTTGGCCCCTGCTCGTGCCCAGCACCTGCGATTCTTGCGCGGGAGCCAGGAGGCGCCGAGGCCGCTGGGGAGGCTGGGGAGGCCAACGGGGGCGGCGGGGGCCGGGGCCGTGCCAGGGCCTGTCAGCGGGTCCCCAGCCTTATTTATGACGTGAGGCCGATGTCCTTATCCGACGGCCTGCTAAGGGCTGGATGTGGCCGGCGCTGGACAGACAGACAGGCGGCCGCCCACCTGGCTTGGGCCCTTGCCGGCCGCTGGCGCCGGCTGCCGCACATCCTGGGACCGTCCCCGGGGACGCCTCCATGCTGCCCCCCCCCGCCACTCCTCCCCTGTGTCCCTCTCTCCCTCCTCCCTCTTGTTCATTTCCTTTCTTCTTTTTTTCTTTCTTCCTTTGTTCTATTTTCCTTCCTTTCTCCAGGGCTGTGGATAGAGCTCAGGACCTCACACACTCTTTCCTTCTTGCTCTCCTGGCCGTGTCCCCACCTGGCCCCTTCCTGCATGTTCCCTCCTGAACGTTCTGGGCTGTCTGTCCCCACGAATTCCGTCCACCCAGCCTTGACAGCTCAGTGTCGCCTGGCCTTCTCCCTTTTTCTTTTCGGCCGCCTGCTGTCTCTCCGTCCCTTTGGCCCAGGCCTCCCTCTCCCTCCACCCCTTGCATTCACACCTGGCTCAGGCCAAAGGAACCGGGTTCCTGCAGGAGCTGTGGGGTAGGAGCCGACCCGTCCCCGCCCCTCCTCCCCAGGGCGCAGCTGGCCGGAGCGCAGACGCGGTTCGGGACGCGGGAGGAGGCGCGGGTTCAAGGGGCGCAAATCCCGCAGCGCCGCCTCCGCGTCTCTCCGCGTGCGCCCCCTGCCGGCCGCGCCCAACACTGCGCTCCGCCTTTAGAGCGCCCGGGCCCGGGCGGCGGGGCGTGCGAGCCGCGGGGCGGAGAGCCGAGCTCGGGCCCCGTGCGGCGCGAGCTCAAGCAGTTCCTGGGCTGGCTCAAGAAGCACGCGTACTGCTCGAATCTCAGCTTCCGCCTCTACGACCAGTGGCGGGCCTGGATGCAGAAGTCGCACAAGACCCGCAACCAGGTAGGGAGGGGGGGACCTGCGGGCGTGGGGACCCAGGGGACGCAAGTCTGCAGCCCCGACGACACTGCTGCCTTCTTTCCAAGCACAGGACGAGGGGATCCTGCCCTCGGGCAGACGGGGTGCGGCGAGAGGTAAGGGGGGCTCGGCGTGGCAGGGTCGGTGTGGGTGGCTGGAAGGGACACGGACTTTCTGGTGGCTGCAAACTCCACCTCTCCCTCTGGGCAGCATTTGTGCTGCTCAACACCGAAGTGTGGCCAAACCAGGTGTGGCCCATTGTAGCTTTCAGCCTAGCTAGGAGCCTGAACTGCAATCATGTCCTCTCTGGCAAGTGTGAGGACTTGCTCGTGCAGGCCCTGGGTTAAGCTCTTTACCTGCAGGAGACCCCTCCCCCCCACCAGAATGCCTCCTTTCTTAGAAGGGAAACCAAGGCGCAGGGAGGGACTGTGTCCACCCTAAATCCGCACAGCTGAAAGCAGCAAAAGATAGGACCCTTTGCTGCTCTTTACACCCCACCCCCAACTCGCTGCTGAGCCTGGCTTTTCTTGTGCCCACAGGTTCTGCCAGATAAGCTGTAGTGACCAGGGCCACCCTCCCTGCTACACAAGACCCAGAGACCAGGCCAAATTGTACCCTCGCTTCAGGGCATCCAAGCACCATTGGCAGCTGGGAGACAGCTCTGGGGGCCGTGAGGGCCCCACCCGTGCGTGTACTCTAGCGTGCAGAGGGGATGGCCGAGCTGCTGCAAACCCTGCGGGGACTCAGGGTCAGAGGGCCCATTGCTCGCCCAGCCTGGGGCCCCTCAAGTCTTTTAAATAAATGAGCTATTTAGTGCTCTCATTGTGGAGATGATGGAAGCCGGGGCGGGGCGGTGGGGTTTGGGGACATGGGGAGCATCCAAGAGGGACGCTTTGGAACTGGACCTCCCCCCTCCCGGAACTTGAGGCTTCGCCTGCAAGTCCCGCAGCCGCTGCTTGTCTGTTTCCGGAACTCCCGGAGGGAGCTGTGAGTCAGAACTCGGGAGTTTCCGGCAGGGTGCCGGTTCCCCCCAACTCCCCCTCGCCCCAGGGGCCCCCTCCCCAGGCACAAGGCTCCAGGACAGAGGCGGAGGGACTACAGACACAGGCTGCTTTATTGTGGGCGGTGCCGCAGCAGAGGGCTCCCGGCCCCAGGGGCCACGACCTCGGCCAGCTGGCGGTCGGGGCTGGGCTGGACGCCACCGGCCTCATTTCCCAGCTCTCTCGGGGCGTCCCCGGGGAGCCACCATCACTCTGCAGATTCCGCATCAAACCTAAGGTCCTGGAGAACCTCGCCGATCGCCTCCATGGTTTTAATTACCCTACGAGAGCGGATGAGAACTATAAATAAAACCCAGATGGGGCGAATTAGCCTACGCTGCGCAGTTAGCTCCGAGGGGGCTGCGGAGAGCCCAGGGCCCTTCTGCCCGCCCGCCGCCGCAGCTCCAGGCAGCTCTGGGGAGGGTCCCAGATGGGGCGGCTCTGTGGGTTGGAGCTTTAGGCATCCTGGCAAGCGGGAGGGTGCGGGCCATGGGAGGTCAGAGTAGCAAGGCAGCAGACCCCAGTCCAAGCTCCGGGTCCAGCCATAAGTGCAGAACTGGCACTGGCCAACGAGGCAGCTGCATCCAATGACTGCGAATTTCTGCATCGAAGTTGCAGAAACGTGTGCAAAGGGGCACCAGGCAAGGATGCGGGGGTACAGCACCCCAAAGCGTGTGCGCAGGTCTGATTGGGCCCATGTATGCCCAGCCAGGCCAGCTTGATGTGTGGCAGGGCTCACTTCAGCTTCAGCTGGTGTGTCCGTGTGTCGGGGTCCTGCTTGGCCAGCTCTGGGATCGCCATCAGCTGCAGCATGGCCACCTGGTGGGGGATGGGCGACAAGGAAGTTGTCACAGCAGCAAAAGTCGCTTCCTGGCCTCCTCCACTATTGTAGGGAGAAAGGGGTCCAAAAGGTCGGGCCGGGGAAAAGCCACACTGGGCAGGGCAGTGGCAAGTAGGACAGGGTGAGTCTACGTGGAGTGCCCTGTGGCTGTGGCCTTGAGGGCCCAGGAAAACCTAGGAGCTAACAGCTAAAGACGGGCGGCCAGCATGGTAAGGCGCTTAGGTCCTAAGTAAGGGCAGAACACTATAAACTCAGCTAGAGGCAGGTCGCAAATTCGTTCTGGAGACCCGGTTTAGGAAAAGAAATCAAGTGCCAAGTGCAGTGCGGCTGTGGCTTCAAGTGGAGTGCACATCCCCCCGCCAGGATTGGGTGAAGCTCAGAGCAGGCGGCCGTAGGTAGGACATGATCCCATCTACAACTACTCGGCAAGGCAAGGTCTGAGAACCAAAAAAAGGGAAATAGCTTGAGGGGGGGAGCCTCGAGAAAGCGGGGGTCGGCTTTCCGGGAATACCTTTTGGCTGGCTGGGGTGAAATGGGGATGTGCTGAGCTCGAAACAAAATTTGTGATAAATTTGGGGCAGGAGCTCAGGCACTGTGGAAGGATAAGCCAGCAGGATCACAGGTTCAAGCTAAGTCTGAGCAATTTAGTGAGACCCTGTCTCAATAAAATGGGGTGGGGATGTACTCAGTGCAGTGCGTCTGGGTTCAGTCCCCAGTGGCGACCAAAAAAGGAAAAAATGAGGCAGGTTAGGAAACAAAGCCCGAGAACGCCCCAGGGACGGCTGCAAGGGGGATGGCCGGGGTCTGCTCACCGTGGCCAGGCGCGTCTGCTCCAGTTGCTGCAGGCTGCGGATGTGGCTAGCGAGCAGCGGCTGCACGCGCGGCCCGGCCAGTTCGGCTTCCAGCGCCAGCACCTCGCGGGAGGCGGCGGCGAAGGCCTGGGTCACCTCGTGTACGGCGCTCCGGTAGCGCGCAAAGTCGTGATGCGGGCCGCTCTGCAGGTACTGGCGGTGGGCTCTGCGGCAGGCGGGAGTCCTGATGCCACGGGCCCGCGCAGATCCCCGGAGCGGACCCTCCCAGTCCCGTGCCCTGCTCAGCCCGGCACCCTCCCGCACTCACGCCTCCAGCTGGCCGAAGGCCCGCGCGCGCTCAGCCTGCAGCTGCTCGATGCGCCGCACCAGCGTCCGCACCGGGGCATCTTTCTGCAGAGTGGGAGGCACGGCTGAGGCATGAGGACGGCGTTCCCGGACCTGCGCCGCCGGCCCCGGGCCCATCCCTGCCTGAGCCCGGGCTCACCCAGGGCCACCCTAGCTCCTGAAGGTCCAGGGCTTCAGTAGCATCTGCAGGGTCGCGCGCCACGGCGACCGGGCAACCCGACGCGGCCCCTGCGGTGATCATGACTGTGCAACCCCAGCGGGCCATGCGTCGTTCGCTGCGCTCGACGCCCCCTGCCGGCCCGGAGGTCCCCGCACCGCTGAGCCTGTCAATAGCCACCTAGGTTTATCTCCTGATAAACGTCTGCCCAGTAGCTGCTCCGCACGTTCACCTAAGGACCAAGGCGCGGCTTCGCGAGCACCAAGTCAGGGGTGCTAAGGAGCAGCGCTTGCACCTCCTGAATTGCAGGTCTGCTCAAAGCCCAGGGACTTTGCACAAGTTGACAACCTAGCCCAGAAAGGGTGAGGGGGCACCCCTGCCCCTCCCGGCATGCATTTCTGGCACAGCATGTGGACCAGAGCACACAAGCAGACTCTGGCCAGGGATAATCCTTAGGGCTACCTGGGTGCAGCTCAGACACGCTCCCCGCCTAGCACTCGAGAGTCTGGTGCCAGCCACGCCACACGAGCGCACAGATCTGACCCCTCTGCTTTTAGATCAACCTCATGGCTAAAGCTGAGCCCAGCACCCCAACAGGTCGCTGGTCCTCTTCCCACCACAAGCCCTCAGCACCTAGGCCCAGTTCCCAGGGCTTTTGGGATCCCAGCCATGCCTTCAACTCCTGGTTCCAGACAAGAGGCCAGGACTCAAAGTGATGTATGCTTGGCTGTGACAAAAACACACAGGATGGGAGCCCCACAGGTGAGAGTGGAAAGCTGGGAAAGGCCCCAAGGAAGATGGCCATTCTGCAGCCTTCCCCTGGACAAAGAGGCACACGGACACCAGCTGCTGCTCTAGTCAAGGGAGGGAAACTTTATTCAGGCCCCAAGGCTGCAGGCGTTGGGCAGGTGGTGCCCTTCTGGACGAGGGGCTGGCTGAGCTTTATTTGACCTTCTTCTTGGGGCGCAGGTTGTTGGTGTGGCCACACTTCTTCTTGCGGCAGTTGACAGCACGGGGGTGCAGGCGGGCATAACACCTAGCAGGGAAAGAAGGGACAGGAGCAGCTGAGCAGCTGGTCAGGACATCCTGACCCTCCTGCCCCCACCCCACTCCACATACTTGCGGCAGATCATCTTGTCACAGTTGTACTTCTGGGCAAGCTGGCGCAGGGATGGCTCGATGATCCCACCTCGCAGGCGAAGCACCAGGTGCAGGGTGGACTCTAGAGGGATGAGCAAGGGGTGCTGGCTCAGTGCAGGGCCACAGTCCCAGGGCACACCCCCACATGCAGGAGACTGGAAAGAGCTGACTCTCCCGTTTCCCTTAACCATACTTTCATGTGGTTTTCTTCCCTGGAGCTGGGGATGGAACAACTTATTCTTCCCCTGAGCCACACCCCCACAGCCATAACCTTTCTAAACAATACAATGCCAAGTATTCACATCAGTCATTTAAAAATAAGAGTAACCAATGCCATCTTGGGACCAGATATCTTCAAGTGACAGAACAGGACCCCTATCCTACTGGCTCCTTCCTCATCCTTTCTTGTTTTGGGGAAAGAACCCAGAGCCCACACCACAGCCTGATCCTCCTCATCAGAAGGACCCCCCTGGTGGTCCCAAAGTGCCCGGGGGCACAGGAGCCCCTGTCTGGAGATCCTAGACCCGTACCTTTTTGGATGTTGTAGTCAGAGAGGGTCCGCCCATCCTCCAGTTGTTTGCCGGCAAATATCAGACGCTGCTGGTCAGGGGGGATGCCTGCAGTGCAGACAGATCTGAACTGGTCACTGGGAGGTTACTGCCATTGGCTCCGCAGACCCTTCCTGCAGGAGTGACCCTCGCTCCAAAGGAGACAGATTTCTAGCCCTCCTCCACAGTCACACACTGGCAAAGGAGTGTTCTAAGCCTGATTCCCCCCCCCCCCACACACACACACAAGCAGAGCCCTCACCTAACCCAACTCACCCTCCTTGTCTTGGATTTTGGCTTTGACATTCTCGATGGTGTCACTGGGCTCAACCTCGAGGGTGATGGTCTTGCCCGTCAGGGTCTTCACAAAGATCTGCATGTCTGCGTCTGCTGGCAGGGGATGGAGCAGTGAGTGTGGCAGGTCTTCCAGGCACCAGCTGAGGCTGCCAGCCCGCGGCCTGTGCCACCCTAACCTCAGGCTGTCCTGGACTGTCCCTTCCCTCTGCCCCGAAGAGCCTCACACTCGTGTGCAACCTAAATTCACATTTCCCCTGCCACACTGCTGGCTGCTGTCACAAGTGCTGGACATGGAAGACTGGGCCTGTGAACAAGTGGCTCTACCCCTGAACGACACCCAGTCCCTTTGCAGGTGGAGGCTGAAACGGGAAGATTCCAAGTTTGTGGTCATCAGGGCAACTTAGCAAACTCTGTCCCAAAATTTAAAATTGAAGAAACAAGGCTGCAGGTATCTCAGCGATAAGAGCCCTCTGAATTTAATTCCCAGTGTGGTGTGTCTGATGGAACGACAGCACCCGGCAGACACGTTTTCCCAGTGACCCCGCCTGCAGAGATCCACCAGTCCTTCCTCCCCAACCGCCAGCCCTTTCGATCCGCCTGCATGGGAAGCCCCCTCCTTAAGGCACATCCCTCCCCTCCCCTTGCCCAACTCCCTGCTGGACGCCCGACATTCTTTTTCCTTCACAGTCAGTACGAACTGGCCGGACCTCCCTTCTTGCTTTTCCTGCAACCCATAAACAAGGGCAAGGTCTAGGGGAGAAGCAGGCTTGTCAAGCGCTTGCTCAGAAAGGCAGGGAGAGCCTAGAAAGCGGAGGCCACCCCCCCGCGCTTGGGAGGCTGGGGCTGGAGGCCCGAGAATTCAAAGCCACCCTGGCTACTTGGCGAGCTGAACGCCAGCCTGAACTACGTGGCCAAGCTGTCTCACATACACGAAAACGATAGCGGGAGGGCAGAAGAAACACCCAACCGAAGGAGTGGGGTTCGGATCGCCTCGGGAAGGCGCACAGCAGCCCGAGGACTCACGGGGTCGCGCGGGCCGAGAACGGCCAGGCCCCTGGCCGAGGCTGCGCTCCGGGTGGTCGCCACCCCGCCGAGACCAGCCCTTTCTGGCGGCCTCAGGCCCACCCTCTTCGCCTCCCGGGGCCACAGACTCCGAGCAGCACCGACCCAGCGCGAAACAGCTCGACCTCCGCCACCTACCCGCTCGGCCGCCTCGTTGAAGAGAAAGAGGGCGACGGAACCGGAAACCGCCTGTTCACCGCTGAGAGCGCCTGCGCACCGAGCACGCTCGCGCTGCGTCACAATCCGCGCTGCGCACACGTCCTGCCCCCCAGGCCCCGCCCCCGACGCCTACGTGTCGGATACTGGCAAAGGAAGCCGCCTGGCGTGTGGGCAAGCACGCAAAGCCGCTTCCGGGCCCAAGCACCGCCCACCGGGCGGGGGGGCCACGCCTCTCCAGGTGTTCAGAGCGGCGGTCTACCTGGCGGCTGCTATTGTGTAGCCAGCAGAGTAGGGGAACGAATGTTTTCTGCCAAGCACAGGCGTGATGGAGAGGGTCGAGACGCAGGATCGGATCGAGATGGTGAGGGGCTCCAGTTGCCCACGAGCCAGCCTAGAACTGTATCTCCTTTAACATTCCCGTGCCCCGCTTTGTAGCCAGCACAGGCATATGCTCACTTCAGTCCGGGAAGATGCCTTTAGGTTTCTGGGTTTTTGTTTTTGCGGTACTGGGGATTGAACTCATGATCTTGAATTTGCCAGGCAAACACTTATTCTACTGAGCTATCTCTCCAGCCCATTCTGTTTTGTTTTGACACAGGATCTTGCACATAGTCCAAGCTGACTAGGAACTCAGAGATCCTCTTGCCACAGCCTTTTGGCTGCTTCGGGATTACAGGTCTGTTGTAACCATGAACAGCGCTTAAAAAAAAAAAAAAAAAAAAAAAAAGGGAAATCCAACCATCATTTTGTATGGATTACTTCTGCAGTGAATCTTATACAGCCTCCGTAGTAGACATGAGCCATCCCACTAGCCAGATGATGCCTCTAATAACATGTATTCCCGGGATACTGGGAACTGCACTCAGGACCTCATGCCAGGCAGGCGCTGTGCCACTGAGCTAAATCTCCAGCCCCAACACCATAATTCCTCAGTGCTCTGGAGGGTTGAGTGGAGCCCAGATTAGATGCCCAAATCATTCACCAAGGCCAAGATCTGAGGGAGCAGAGGCGGGAGACTCAGGAGGGGAGGACAGCTGGGTTCCCACAGCTGCTACCAAGGACCCAGCAAGAGCAGCCCCATCGCATATGCACCCTGTCCAGCAGGGCCCCATCTGCAGCACAACTGCCCATCTCCAGACAGAGGATGGAAGGAAGCTGAGGCTGACGTACGTTCTGTCTTACTGACAGTCTTTTATTTATAACTTCCCAACATCATCTGTAAACATTGGCTACAAAAATATTCCATTAAACTGTTTTCCTCAGTGGTTAAGGAGGACCCGGGTAATACCTGCCAGGCCACAGGGCCCTTCTTCTGGTCAGAAACTCCTACCTAGCCAGGCTGGGCCCAGGGCTGTACGGCAGGCTGTCTCCCGCCTCGTGCCCAGCTCAGACCACTCAGGCCAAACAGCTGGAGAAAGGGTTCCGAACTCTTACAGAGGAGCGGGGAAACCAGAATTAGCAGCGGGGCACAGGGGTGGCCCGGTCAAACTCAGGTGTGACACTGCACATCCACCTCCAGGATTTCCCGGCCAGAACGGGGACCTATAGGTCTGCTCTCTAGAGACATTTTCAGCACGGTTCAGAGAATGCCCAGGGACCGACTCTGAAGACCTGGGTGTGGCCCGGGGTGGCCCAGGTCCTGCGCAAGTACTGTAGTCTGGAGGAGGGTGGGAATGAGACACCTAGAACACCCCGGGCCGCAGGGGCACAGGGTGGGCTATTCTCCTGGCGTCTCCTCCGTGTCTGTCAGGCTGTGGCCATTGACAGTAGGGGAGCCACATTGGATGTGGGATAGGTCCTCGAAGCCAGGGCTGAGGGAGGGCGAGACGGTGTCCGGGCTGGTGTCGCATGAGCCTGTGCTCTGCTCAGAGGTGGCAATAGTGGTGGTGATGCTGGGTGGAATGGGGTCTTCATCGTCATCCTCCAGGAACAAGGCCTCAGGGAGGTCTGGGGAGGGGACCGGCATGTTGGGTGAGGGGCTTACTCAGATGAACCCGAGAGGTCCCCCCGCCACAGGGATGTGGCCCGACCTACTGCACAGAGAAGGAAACTAATGCACAGGCAGGACATGCGCTCTGAGCTCAGGCTGGTGTGGCCTTAGCTGTGTCACCTCCCACACCATCCCTGCTCAGGTTGCCACCCACTTAGCACAAGTGGTAAACTGAGACTCAGCATTGGGGACCCGCTGGGGCGGCAGTGTCAGGTGAGCAGACCGCTAAGTGTGGTCCCTGCCACTCCGTGTCCCTTTCTGGCTTCCTCTGGCAATGTCGCACCCTCTGTGAACAGGGCCCCTCACCATCCCTGGTGCACAGGTGATGGTGGGTGACAGCCTCACCCTGAAGGGTTCTGAAGTGCATACTGGAGAGTCAGTGTCCTTGTCCATGCCCGTGACCTCCCAAGGCAGTGATCCCACTCCCAGCAGCCCTGGGCCTCAGGACCAGGGCTCAGCACCAGCCCAGGGGAACACCCGAGGGCAGGGGCTGGGCTCTGGGTTGGGGCCACAAGTGGCCCTGGGACACTTACGGCTGAAGGCCTCTGGGTGCTGCCTGGCCAGCTTCCCTTTCAGCGTCCTGTGGGGACAGAAGGGACGCACGGGCTGGGCCAGGGTGGGCAGGCAGTGTGACAGCCCCTGCCACACACAGTCCTGTCTCTCTCTGTCCCGTCTGTCTGGAGGCTCGGCACACAGCCTGGCAGCCAATGCCCTGGCAGCCCCACACCTCTTGGCGCAGGTAGGCACTGAGTTCTTCCTGCACAGAGCCTGGTGCAGGCTTGGACACTGGCAGTCCTCCCCACAGTGCCCTCGTGCGACCCATCTCTTCTACGCCTGGGCACAATTTCCCTTGCGCCCTCCCGCTCCCCCATACACCTACTGGAGAGGGAACCCAGGGCCTGTGTACTGAGCTGCAGCCCCAGCCTGCTCTTATTTTGAATTATTTATTTACTTATTTGGTGCAGGGTCTCACTACACAGCTCAGAACCATAGTGATCTTCCTGTCTCAGTCTCTCCAGCGCTGGGATCACAGGCCTGTGCCACCATGCCCAGTCTCAGCCAGGTCTGTGCACGTGGGCTCTCGTGGCCCACGTCATGCAGTACTGGGGATCAAACCCGAGTCCTTGCACTTGCCAGGCAGGCACTTAGACCACCAAGCTATCTCGTCATCAACTCCTCAACCTTTGCAGCAGCTGCAGCACAGCTCTAAGAGGGCAGAGGCAGGGGTGGGTCGCTGTGCAGGGCCTACTCGGGACCTGCTAAGGCACCCAGGACTTGGTTTCAGGCACACAGATACTGTTTTGCACACAGCTCTGACACCTTTTACTTTTTTTTTTTTTTTTTTTTTTTTGTGGTACTGGGACTGAACTCAGAATGTTGCGCTTGCCAGGCAAGCGTTTATTCTACTAAGCTATCTCCCCAGCCCTTACTTTGTATTTTGAGACAGGGTCCTGCTAAGCCCCCAGGCTGGCTGGGCTCCAAAGCTCGACCCTCCTGTCCCAACCTCCCCAGCACTGGGATCACAGGTGTGCCCCACACCAGGCTGCCGACAGAAGACTTTTGGGGGCAAAGGGATGGGAGCGACAGGATCACTGTCCGCTTCTCCCTGTCCTGACTTGAGTGCAATGGTAGCCACAAAAAAGAAATGGGCAGGGGCCAGGGAGATGGCTCAGTAGGGTAAGTGCTTGCCTGGCAAGTGCAAGGGCCTGAGTTCAATCCCCGGTTCCTCAAAAAATAATAATAGTAATAATAAATAAATAAATAAATAAATAAATAAATAAATAAATAAATGGGCAAGACGGGATGGGCGGGCGCACCTGATCCTGCGAAAGACGCTGTCCAGGTCCCGCTTCATCTCCACCAGCGTCCGAGTGTGGTGCACGAAGCGCTCGCTCATCTGCTGCAGGCGGGCGCTGGACAGGCTATTGAAGTTCAGCAGCATCTCGTTGGTCTTCTCGAAGCGGTCCAGCCTGGTGGCCCAGAAGGGGTGAGTGGCCCTGCCCACAGGTGCTGGCCACAGCCCTCGGGTGCTACCACATAGCCCTGCTGAGCCCTGGCTCCAGTCACAGCCTTTACGAGGGCTGCTCCTGTAATCTGTGTGTGTTCACAACAGCTAGGAAACTCCTATTCAAACCTTAAAACCCTACTAACAAATAGTTCTAGAAACCAGGCATGGTGTCACATGGCTATCGTGCCAGCATTCCAGAAAGCAGATGTAAGAAGAATGTGAGTCCAATCAGCAAACTAAAGCGCCTGCAACGGCAGAACACAGCAGCTGGGGTTCAATCCCCATTTTGCCTTGCCAGCCCCACCCCGAGGGTGTGCTAAAACGGTGTGAGACTGGGTGTGGCAGCTGGCACCTATAATCCCAGTGCTTGGGAGGCTGAAAACAGGAGAATCACTATGGTCCGATCTACACAATGAGACCCTGTACGCCCTGTAAACCCTGTCCTAAAATTCATTTAAAAAAAAAAAATCAAAAAAAGAATGTGAGTTAAGAGTCTTATGTGGGCAATTTAGCAAGTTCTATCTCAAAATATAAAATACAGGGGCCAGGGAGAGAGCTCAGTAGGATAAGTGCTTGCCTGGTAAGTGCAAGGTCTGAGTTCAATACCCGGTTCTACAAAAACAAAACAAAGAATCAAAATATAAAATACAGAGATGGGGTGGTAGCTCACGGCAAGGACCTGGATTCAACACTGGGGACTGCAGGGGAGAAAAGTGTATCCTCTGGCACGACTTGGATCTTTTTATGTTGGTCCTTTTTTTTTTTTTTTTTTTTTTTTTGTCTTCTTGAGACAAGGTCTGGCTATGTAGCCCAGGCTGGCCTTGAGCTCGCAGTGATCCTCCTGCCTCGGCCTCCCAATGCTGGGATGGCAGGTGAATCTCGGGGGCTTTGTCATGGTCACAGAAAACCAACTTATCACACCTTCTCCGGGACACTTGTCCCCACCCCACCCCACATCCCCAGACCTGCCCTGCCCTGTGCTGCGTTCTGGTTAGACCCCCGACACCACGGGGCCAGCTGGGCTGGGCCTGCTGCTGACTGCCTCTGTCTGGGAGGTCCCCAGAGTCAGGTGTGCATCTTTCCTAAAGAACTAAAAGCAGGGCAGGGGAGAGGCTCAGTGCCAAGTGGCTGTGTGCCATGTCCCTGCTGGCTCCATCCTGGCACCCTAGGGAGATGAAATTAAGGAACTACGACGAAAATGCGGCTACATCTGGAGTGCAGTCAAGGCTTGGGCTGCATCTGTCCCAGCCCTTACCAGAAGCCCCTGGGCTACCCTACAGATGCAGCGGCTCCAAGCCACCAGCTCCCAGCTAGAAGGCGAGCAGCTCACCACGCAGGCCCCAGGCCCATTCCAGCCCGTGCCAGGACCCATGTGGTCACTCACATGTTCTTCTGGGCCATGATGATGGCGTTCACGTCATCCACATTCACCATGCTCAGGATTCGGCTGCAGAAGACCCTTGAGGCAGAGTCTGGGGTGTCCATCTCTTCCTGCTCCTCCTCCGCTGCCTGAAACAGGGGCCACAGAGTCTGGTCAGCACCAGGAGCAGTGGGCAGAGCTAGACATGGGGCACAGAGGCCCCAACAGGGAGGAAGAGGTGGCTCCCTCACTGCACATGAGCTGGCTCGTGGTCATCCCAACAAAGGGGCAGCTACCAGGGCTCATGCCTGGAAACCCGCCTTGCCCCACCTCCGGGCCTCCTGCTGGCCAGTGCCCAAGGCTACCAGCCGCCTTCCTGTGCTGTCCCCACTAGCAGGACACACACGGCCACCTTATCCAATCCCCAGCCACTCCACTGTTTTGTTTCCCAAGAGATCTTTTCATTTTGAGACATGGTCATGCTAAATCGCCCAGGCTGGACTCCAACTCTCCAGCCTCCTGCCTCAGCCTCCGAGGCAGCTGGGATCACAGGGCGAAAGCCATCCTCCCACAGCCCCCGGCTCCAAGAGTCCTTCAAGACAAGCCGTTGCAGACCACTTTCCCCTCCCGCCCTCCTGATTCCGTAAGCAGCTCAACCTTTGCAGCAGCTGCAGCACAGCTCTAAGAGTGCAGAGGCAAGAGTGGGTCGCTGTTCAGGGTCTACTCGGGACCTGCTAAGGCCCCCAGGACTTGATTTTGGGCACACAGATACTGTTTTGCACACAGCTCTGATGCCAGACTTTTATGAACAAACAAAAAACACAACTGCAGATGCTTGCAGGAAGGCTGCAGGCCCTGGAAGCCAGACAGCCGTGCTGTGCCCTGCATCCTGACCCACGGATGACACACAGCTGCAGCGTTCTGCCTGGAAAAGTCTCGAAACCTGATAGACTGTGGCTTAGCTCTGCAGCCTACACATCTAGCGATCTACAGAAAAGCCTACTCGTGGGCTGGTGAGATAGTTCAGCAGACTAAGCACTTGCTTAGGCAGGCGCACAGACCAGGATTCGATCCCCTGTACCACATGCTATGCTGGCCCACCCAGACGTGCTGAGCCGGCCATTGATACCAGGCATGGTGGCGCAGGCATGCCTGTAATCCCAGTGCTGGGGAGGCTAAAAACAGGAAGCTAGATCACTACGAGTCCAAGCTGCATAGTGAGACCCTGTACCAAATACAATAATAATAATAATAATAATAATAATAATAATATAATAGAAAAGCCTACTTGTGATTGGTTACGATTCATACCCAGGGGCCTGGTGCGCTGGTGCACGCCTGTACTCCCAGCATTCAGGAGGCTGAGGCAGGAGGATCACCACAAGTTCCAGGCCAGCCTGGGCTATATAATGAGGCCCTGTCTCTCAAAAAGCTAGACAATGGCCAGGGAGATGCTCAGTGGAATAAGCGCTGACCTGGCAAGCACAAGGGCCTGAGTTCAATCCCCAGTTCCACAAAAAAAAAAAAAAAAAAAAGTGGGGGTGGGCTGGGGGAGGGATGAGGAAAGGCCACAGCCTGTTTATCTACTTTCCCATTCCCCATTTCTGGAGCACCTACTCTACCCTGGACCAGGTTCAAAACTCACACATTGGGAACTGTCACCATGAGATGACAAAACTGAGGTTCAGAGAAACCTAGGATGCCGGCCACAGCCAGGTGTGAGTACAAGCAGGTGCTTACTACCCACCTGGGGTGGGACAGCTGTGTGTCACAGTAGCTGTGTTTCACATTCTGGCCTGAGTGCTGTCTTATTTTTATTTTATTATTTTTATAAAATCTTTTTTATTTATGTGTGTGTGTGTGTGTGTGTGTGTGTGTGGCCAGCTCAGCCCACCAGGGGGCAAGGCTGGCTGGCATGTGGTGCTGGGGGATTGAACCGCGGTCCCTGTGCTTTGCTAAGCTTGTTCTAAGTAGGTGCTTTAGACCACTGAGCCATCTCACCAGCCCTGCTGTCTTATTTTTAAAGGAGAAAAAAATGCCAGTAGGTATTCCTTTCCCCTGTGAAACTGCCTGCTTTGTAAAAGGTGGCAACAAATTATTTTTTCTAAAACACAAAGTCCAAGAATATTTTTTTGTTGTTGTTTATTGTTTTTCTCTCCCTATGCAGCTTAGGCGAGCATTACAGTCCCTGTGACCCTCTGCCCTAGCCTCCCCCAGTGCTGGGATCATGGCCACATGCTCCATGTCCGCTAAGAATACCTATTTGTGGGCTGGGGATATAGCTCTGTGGCACAAGCACCTGTCTGGCAAGGTTCTGAGTTAGATTCCCAATGCCAAGGAAATAAATATTGGTGCCCTGAATCTGTCTAGCAGTTTTCACAGTGTCTTCTAAAAACGAGCTGTGCCAGCCTCCTGGCCCACGCACCCGGCAGCCCTCACAATCCGGAGGCCTGAGAAGGACTGTGAATTTGAGGTCAGCCCTGGCTACAAAACGAGTTCAAGGCCAAAATGAACTGCAGAGTGAGACCCTGTCTCAAAAAGATAAAAACAAGCCGTCTAAGAGCCTGCCTTGGCAAGCGCCAGGACCCGGGTCCGAGGGTTCAATCCCCGCTACAGTACACTGCGCTGACCCCACCTGGAGCCCGCTGAGCTGGCCACTGACACGGGGCGTGGTGACGCACGCCTGTAACGCCAGTGCTGGGGAGGCTGTAAACAGGAGGATCACTACAAGGTCTGAGCTGTGTAGCGAGACCCTGTATCAAATACATAAAAAAAAAAAAAGACAAAAATAAATAAGTAAAATAGAAGCGAGCCGCAGGGACGGCGCTCTGTCTCTCCTGCTTCAACCACTCTTGACCAAATGTCTACTTCACGCCATGCATGGCCACGCAGTTCACTTCCCAGGAAGCACAGCCGCGTGGATGGAGGAGACCTGCACTCAGCCACCGTGGCCTGCGCTTGCAGCCCCAGCTGCTGGGGAGGCTGACACAGAGGCAGTGGAACTCTGAAGGCTATCTGGGTCACTTAATGAGCTCCTATCTGAAAACTTTAAAGGGGAGCAGGGCTGAGCAGCAGAGCATGTGCCGAGAAATCTGGATGTCTGAGTTTCATCTCCAAGACCACAAAGAAGAAAAAAGGAGAATCACGTGAGGAGAGGCCCACTGCTAGGGCCCAACAGGTGTCGGATTTGAACCTCCTAAGACTCAGCTCTGTTTTAAAGAACGGCTCCTTCTGCTCTCTGGCTCCCAGATGTGATGGTTATGGGGTTTATGGTCACCTTTTTCCTAGACTAACTGCCCGGCTGCTGCTGCTCCTCCCCCCCCCCACGTGCACGTGCGCGCGCGCGCGCACACACACACACACACAGTGCCACTGGGGCTCTGGACCACGGTCTGAATCCATTCATGGGAGAAACCTGCAGACAGCAAGCTTTTGTGACCTTGGGAATCTCTTCACATCCCAATTATCTCAGCTTTAAGAAACGTTAATATGATCCTGACAGACACAGTGGCACACACCTGAAATCCCAGCACCCAGGAGGCCCAGATAGAAGGATCTCAAGTTCGAGGCCAACTTGGGCTATCCAGTGAGATCCAGTCTGAACAAAACAATGAAACAAAAGAAAAGATTAAAAAAAAAATCAAAAGGATGGAAACCAAACGTGACTCAAAAGCAAAGCTCTGGCCATCGCAGGGCATACTTAAAAGGCTGAGGCCAAAGGATCTCTTCAGAGATCCTGCTTCTTGAAAGGAAAAATTTGAAAAAGCAGCTCTTCAAGGAAGCTGTTTCTTCAAGTGGAGTCACGTCCCAGGACCTCTGGGCACGGTGGTGCTCTCCTGTAATCGTAGCACTCAGGAGGCAGAGGCAGGAGGATCACTGTGAGCTTGAGGCCAGCCTGTGCTACAAAGTGAGTTCAAGGCCAGCCTGAACTGCGTACGGGAGCTTGAACTCAGGACCCGCCAGGCGAGCACTTGTTCTACTGAGCCATCTCCCCGGCCCCAAAGAAACCCTGCTTCAAGAAGACAACAAAATGGGGCGCAGGAGAGAGCTCAGTGGACTAAGCGCTTCCCTGGCAAGTGCAAGGACCTGAGTTCAATCCCCAGAAGCCACCAAAATGACAAGGTCCCAGGGCTGCCGAAGCATCGGCATTTTAAACAAAAACATCGCAGGTGCTTCCAAGAACCTGAGCCAACCCCTGCATTTGATTTTCATTCGATTAAACACTTCATTTAATTCTCAATCAGCACTACGCGGCAGACACTATCACCTCCGCGAGAGACTGAGGCTGACGGGCTGGCTCAGCCGCCCAAGATCAGAACTAGGCAGGGATGCCACGGGTTAATTTGACTCAAAACTCCCGGTAGGGCGGCGCCCGAATAGACACGCCCGCCTCCAACAAGCCGGGAAACTGAGGCAAAAGCAAGTGAGCTGCGCGGCTCCAGGTGACATGGCACAATCTGAACACAGGCGAACCCAACATCGGCGCCCGGGATCCAGATCCAGCCCGCGGCACCACCCGAACGTCCGCTGCGCCGCCGGGGAAACTGAGGCCTGCGCGCAGCAGGAGCGCCCAGATGTGCCAGCGGCGCGCCCCACCCCATGGGCAGCCCCGGTGCCGCGCCCGACTCGGCCCGGCTCCTCCCAGCCCCGGCATCCCCAGCCCCACCCCAAACTCAGCCCGGGCTTCGGGAGCGGCGGCACCTGCACATCTGGCAGCCTTACTCGCGCTTCCGGGATGGCGCCCGCGCGTCCTGACGCCATCACGCAGCGCGCGGGCGAGGGTGCGTAGCAACCCCGTACGCTGGGCCTGCGCGTCTGCCCAGCGAGGCAGGAAGGGGTGGGGTTATATGGCGCGTGTGTGCGTCACAACGAATAACCAATCAGACGGTCCTTTCTACGCCTGCTCAGTTGTCCAACTGGGCACCAAAGCAGCCTTGAAGCGCAGTGAAAGACACAGTCCCATTATGCGGATTGGAAAGCTGAGTCCTGGACCTGAAGGTGCCACTCCAAGGCTTAAGACACTCCAGTGTGTCTGTGGCTGAGCCAGACCCAAGCTGGGGACCACATTCAGGCACATAATCTCTGCTGCGTACAGTTAAATATTTTGTAAAATATTTTGTAAATCATTTTCTTTATGTATGTGGTACTGGGGATATAACCCAGGGCCTCAAAAATAATTAAAATAAAACAAATAAAACCCAGGACCTCGTACAGGCAAGGCAAGAGCTTTTCCACTGGGCCACATCCCCAGCCCGTAGAGTTGTGTCCCTTCCTCCCCCACCGCTCGTAGAGCTTTATACTGTGTTTAGGAAATCATGAAGAGGACAAAGTGCACGTATTCGACACAGATGTAAAAATAAAATAAAATAAAAGCTGCCTCGCTATGTTGTAAAGATGCCTTGAACGGCTTCAACTATGTGGTCCTCCTTCAGCCTCCTGAGCGCTGGAACTAATAGCCTGCGTCACCATTCTCTCTATTTATTGCACATCTGGCAGCCCTGCTCGCGTTTCCGGGATAGCGCCCGCGGGTCCTGACGCCAAATAGAATTTATTTATTTATTCTCTTGTTGAGACAGGGTCTCGCTCTGCAGCTCAGGCTGGCCTTGAGCTCACTTGGTAGCCCAGGCTGGTCTCGAACTAGCAACAGTCTTCCCATCTCAGCCTCCGGACCGCTGGGAGACGCCCGGCTCATGCTCATTTAGATTGTGTAGATTTCTTCCTTTTCTTTCTTCCTCACATCTATTATTTGTATTTATTTTGAGACCTTGCCTCAAAAAATTTTTGTCCCTCGTAGTGCCTCGTCCAGGGAGCCTCACTCAGCGCCGGCCACACATAAACATTGTACTTAAAACTTCGGTTTCAAGTGGCCGGAGCTGCTTGTCTCTTTAAATTATGCAAATAAACTGAGAGGGGGAGTGGTGAGTGTACAGAGGGCCGAGATTAAAAAAAAAAAAAAAAAAAAAAAAAAAGAAACCGCTTCTCTGGATCAGCCAATCAGCGCCATATACTGGTAGAGCGGACGGCTGAATAACCCAATAGTAGGCCGTGCGGACTGTGGGCCCGCCCTGCTTCCCCGGTGCCGTTGTGGGGCGGGACATGTATAGGCCACGCCCCGGGGCGGAGCCATCCCTGCCGCGCTGCACCAACAGAAGCAGGGCGGGAGGCCCTGGCGTCTGTGTAGTGGGAGGTTTGGGGCACCCAGCGCTGGTGAGTGCTGCCGGGGCCTCGGCCCTCGTCGCGCCCGACCCCCGCCCCCGCCCCGCACACCGGCAGCTGCTGCGGGTAGAGGGGCGGCAGGCAAGGCTGGGCACGGTGGATGCCCGGCCTCCACAGGGCAATCGGGCTCCACACCTGAGGCGGGGACCCCTCCTGAGACCAAGCTCCCAGGGAGCGAGCGGATGGCTCCGTCGCGAGACCTCGCCCCACTCTCTTTATTCTAAGCCAGATGTTGATCTAGGTCGGGGCTACGGAATGCGGTCCCCCATTCTCTTGTAGCCTGCACCCCAGGAGGCTAGGTAGTACCCCGAGTCTTCTCCAGCGCCGCCCTGCAGATCCCAGGGACTGAGACGAGACCCTCTTTTCGTCTCCGTGTGAACCCCCATTCACCCTGGCCCCCTGCCCCCACTCCATTCCCGGCACCCCCTCAAGAAAGGGTGAGCGTCTCTCCAGGCCAGGAGCCTGTACCAGGGTTCCTCTCGGTGTGGGGGCACCTGGTATCTGTTCTAGGAAGGAAGATAAGTCGGGGAACTGGGGTCTGGCTGGAGGAGGCCGGCGGCAGAACTGGCGGGCAGCCCCTCCCTACGCTCCTGTGCCTCCCTCCTGCCTCCGGCACAGGAGCGGCGCTTTGCAGCTGCCTCCCAGGTGAGCGTGGCCCGGAGGCCCCTGCCTGAGTCCCGGCCTCCTCTCAGAGGAGGAGACCCCGAACTGAGGTCGGGGCTTCAGAGCTCACCTGGCCACCTCCGGCTGGATGCGATTCCCTCCAGTGCTTCAGATGGGGGCTTGGGGTCAAGAGCACCCTGGAGACCCTCACTGGGCCTCGCTGGCCTCCGGGCCTCAGTTTGCTGCGTTGCAAAGTAGATTGATGGTCACGCCACTGGCCGTACTGGAGAAGCTGAGTGTGGCCCGGGGACTGTCCTGGCCGACCCTAAAGGTCACCCCACTTGGTGCATCCATCAGCACCATGGTGCAGCCACCCCAGTCTCACCGGTGGCGCTGCCCTGGGCACACCCTGACCCACATACCATCACCTACGCCAGGGTGGGCCTGGCCCTGGGTGGGGTCCTGTGGGGGAGGTGGTGGGAGGCCCCGGCCAGCGGCTCCCCTGTCTGTGGTGCACGGAGCACAGGGGTGATCTGGGCTGAGAATGCCACGCCCTCAGGTTTGAGGCCACCTCCCTGTGTGTGGCTTTGGCTCTGCTGCCTCCTCTTAGCCCTCTGTGAAATGGGCTGAACCCCTGGGGAAGATCAGAGGACACTGTGGGAGGAGGTGGCCTTGTAAAGGCAGATGTGATGGTCTAGTATTAATTATAACCAGGAATGATGGCTTACATATGTCACCAAATTCAAGTCTTAGACTGTTGAATCTGGGAACTTTTGAGGCCCTCTCTAAAAAGAGAAAAAGGCAGATTAAAGCGTCTGCTTAGGCAGATGCAGGGGCCAGGAGTTCAATCCCTGGACTTGCTGTGCTGGCTCCATCCCTGGGGCACCCTGAGAAGGGGATTGAGACTGACTGGGTGGCGATTGAGACTGGGCGTGGTGGCACGTGCCTGTAATCCCAGCACTTGGGAGGCTGTAAACAGGAGGGTCACTACAAGTCTGATCTGCACAATGAGACCCTTTACACCCTGTACACCCTGTCCTAAATACAAAAATAATTAAATACATAAATAAAAATAGAAAAGGGTTAGGGAATTAGCTCAATGTGAGGAATGCTAATGCTGTTGTAAAATATAATTTTAAAGTTCTTCATGGAGAAGGGGGCCTGTATAGGTCAGAGTGCCTTATTGTGGTGAGGGTTCTAGGCAGGGGCTTTTATGGAAGTAAGGAGATTGCGTCTTGTGCACAGAGCCTTGAGCAGCTAGTGGGCCTGCAGGCCATAGAATTTAAACTGGGGAGAGACAGGCTGTATTTGAATCCACACCTCAGCCCTCACAGGCTTTGTACCTTGGGCAAGTGATTCATAGCTTAACCCCACGGAAACTGAGGCCCAGCACAGGACTCTGACCTGAAAACTGCTCAGTGGTGAGGTACAAAGTCAGGACTCAACCCTGGGGCCAAGCTGAATGCCAGGACCCTGAGTTAGCCCAGCAGGAATGTGCGCATGCTCTGCCCTGCAGAATGGGGTGCTCTCACTGGACCCCATGGCCCTGCTTCCCTTCCCTGTCCAGGCAGCTGGGACTGGAGTTTGCTCCAGGCAGCTGGGACTGGAGTTTGGTCCACAGCTGCCCTCCCTCCCCAGAACGTCATCCCAGCCCGAAGACAGCATCCTGACCCACAGCCCTGCAGGGTCACAGCTGAACCTGGCCTCTGGGACCCCAGGAAGGAGCGGGGACCCCAGGAAGGGGCCAGGACCCTGAGCTATGCCTACGATAGGCTGCTGGGGCTGCACCTTGCCCCGGGGGCTGTGAGAGGGATCCCAGGCCAAGAGAGGCCCAGCAAGCACAGAGGGGTAGGGGCTGGGGAGATAGCTCAGTGGAATAAGTGCTTGCCTGGCAAGTGGAAGGTCCTGAGTTTGATCCCTAGTACCACCAAAAAAAAAAAAAAAAAAAAAGCACAGAGGGGTGAAGCCCGGGCAGGTTCGAGGAGCTGGGGCTCCTCCTCCAGGGCCAGGCTGGTGGGAGACCTAGGGTGTTGGGGTGTCTGGGGAGGACCATGCATAAGCCTGTTGCTAGGTAACCTGTTACCCAGGCAACAAACGCATTTGTTCCCACTATCCCTTTTAAAATGAATGAACCCTCTTATCCCTGACCTCTCCCCTCCCCCTTAGGGTTGCACTCCCAGGCTCTGCCTAAGGGTGACTGAGTGACCACACCAAGGGGCTGTCTGTCAGTGACCCATTGGTCTGTATGTGCTTAAGGGGCTTGACCACTGCAGGCTCAGAAGTCGCCCCCATGGAGCTCTGACAGCAGCGCCCACGTTCATTCTCACTGGCTTTTCATAGCTCGAGGCGCCTACCTTCATTCTCAGTTCTTTCTAATGGCACGAGGCGCTCAGCTCCCTGCAGAAGATGCGATGAGCCAAGGAGAATAGAGTAGAGCCCCCCCCCGGCCCCCTCCCGCAGGCGCCCTGCTGTCTACCTGAGCGGCTAGGCGCTGGGGTAGGGTGGGTCCTGTGGGGGCCCAAGAACAGGCCACTCTGCGTCTGGGAGCCTCAGCTTCCCTGTCTGGGAAAGGGAGTGACCTTGCCGTCTTGTGGACTCAGGGAGGCCTCTGAGATTGACGCGCCAGAAACGTGGAGCAGTGTGGTATCTCACTGAGGGTCCCAGGGAGGCACTAGGGAGCCATGGCAGTGTGAGCGCGACAGGACGTGGCCGCTGGGCTGCAGAGACCCCGCTCCCACCACCCTGGGGCCGGCCTGGCCCTTCTGGCAGGAGACACTGGCCAGAGCCAGCCCACCAAGGGAGGCCGGCCGCTGGGCTCCAGGGTCCAAGAAGCAGGCCAGTGGTTGGCCGAGAGTCAGCCCCACATGCAGCCCGGGCAGCGGTGCCTGGCGCAGCCTCCCCCACGGGTCCCAGCAGCTGGGCGGGAGCACTGCTGGACTTGGTGCCGAGCCCTCGCAGGGACCCTGGATGCACCTAGGCCAGAGC